CTGTTATGATGATTATGACTACTTCATCTTCTCCTTCTGATTCTTATCAACCTCGGCATGGGGCTTCCTGGCTGGCCTTCGGGGTGACTTTGCGTTTCCCGTCTCGCCTGGATCACTGCTGGGGCTTGGGGTGGGGGTTAGGAGTTCAGGGTTTAGGGGTTCGGAGGTTACAGGGGTTTAGGGTTTCGGGCTTGGGGGTTTAGGGTATGAGGGTTCAGGGTTCAGGATTTACGTATGTTGCAAAACGAGCTCGCTCCATGAGATGGCTCTTCCACTGTTCGGGCCCTCCGACCTAGTTTACAAATATGGGTATACTACATAGGCCCATCGACTCCTACTGATTTCGTGCAGTAAACCCTGGATTATGGTATCCCTTTAGAACAACCCTTGTTTCCACCTCTCAGCACCGTCGTTATAATACCTTTCTTAGACTACTACTTTTCATTTTGCAAGTTTTGCTTCAGGTGCGTGCCACGTTGCCGGAGAACAAGCAGGTCGCGAGCAGCTCAGGGAGCTGACAAGCCACTTCCACTTCTGCTCCCACTCCCACCCCTCCTTCTGCTCCTCCTCCTACTACTCCTATTGTTACTGCTGCTAGTACTGCTACAGCTACTGCGCCTTCCACTGCCACTGCTACTTCTGGTCCTGCTGCTCCGCTTCTGCTACTGCGGCCAGGTCCGCTTGGCCTCACTAGCTGCAGTGTGTCTTGGTTGCTTGCTTGTCTTCAAAGCCTGTCCTTCTCTACGCAAGCGATCTGTTCTGAGCTGCGTGACCGCTAAGTGGTGCATCCAGCTTCAAGCACGAGCAAGTGTTTTTCGCTAGCAGTTCAGCACGTGGGCAGCCTGCGGATTATGGATGATCCATCGGTCAGAAGCCTTGAGAAAGACCGCCACCACCTCCGGTAGCGGCACCACCACCACCACCGCCACTGCTGCACCACCAACGCCACCACCACCCACCACTATGACAAGCAGCTGCCACCGGCCAATTGTAAAGCGATTGTTGAAAGCATTACCTACCAGCTAGAAGCAGCAGAAACCGTGGCAACAGTGTGATGACTATGTAAATTACTAGCAGTAGTCTGATCGGGAATATAAGTCGAATCCCTCACCGGTGTGCTCAGGTCGCATTCCAGAATCGCAACCCGATCCACCGTGCTCACTTCGAGCTGTTGGTGTGTGCGAACGGCTTGGTCGTAGCGCATTTGATCGCCCTTCAGGGTGTTACAGAGGTTGGCAGCAATGTCTCCATAGGACTTGCACTGCATGTGGGGTTGTTTCGTAGACCTCTTGTATACACAGGAGCATACTATACTCGACGACCGTCATGTCGAAGAGCCTCCGTTCTGTCTCGGACTGGGGATTCATCCAAAACAACGAGGCTCAGAAGGACGTGAAGGACTCGATTCTGCCCAGACCTTGGCACTCCACGCCGTGTGGGAGCATCCAAAGATTTAGGAGTCCTGAACTGTGCAAGGCTTGTGCATCCCACCTGTGGCCCCACCCAGCCGGGCGACATCGATGGCCTGGTGCGTATCCAGACCTATGAGGCCTGGGAGGTATTTGCTCATCTTCGAGTTCCGAGTCAGCCAGCAGCCTGCACTTGCAACCCTGGCTCTTTCTGCTAGGGGAGCATCGCGCCCGGGCACATCATTTCAGACAAAGGACTGTGAGAGGTCTTGACTCTTTCTTTGCAGGCACTGAAGACGGAGACCGAGAAGGAGTACCCAATGTTCAGATGGGCCTACCTGCCTCCTGACTGCAGCCAGTGTCCGGTAGGCAGACAGGAAAGCCTAAGCCTTAACCCCAGGACTTGATGAACTTTAAGTCGTAAAAAAGCAAGGGGTTTGCCAGACTTTGCCTTGCTAAGGCCTTACAGCATGAAGATGGTCGCGACCTGAGCCTGGGGCCTTTGGCCCTCCGAGGATTTGAGCTAACCTTCGAAGGAAAGCTCAGACTCCGACCAGCAGACACCCTCACGCTTCTTTGGTTACAGCTTGCCTTTTACGGTTCAGTAGACATCCTTCACCGTCGGTGGTTGCGGTTAACTCTTATCCGGGTCGTGGGTTTGTGCTTGTCTTTGCAACTCTCCCACAGATGTGTGAAGGGATCATTTCTTGCCAACGCTGAGGCGGGTCCTCGTGAGGCAATCCAGCACATGATCATCCGGAAGCAGCGGCCTTTGAGTGTCTTTCGTGGCGGATCCAGCATTTCCGGTCCAAACTTCTGGGAGTTCGGCTTACAGTGTGTATATATTATGGGTCGGGGGGTTGAGGGCCTCCACCCACCCTGCAAGTCAAGCTACAGTATGGGGGAAGATCTTGAACACACTCCAGAACCCCTCAAGATCTATCTACGTGCCATAGCTCAAACTGCGCAAGCGGGTCCTTGGTTCAGGTTGGGGGGTTAAGGGTTGTGCATCTGATGGTCACCCAGCTCCCCAGTCAGCGAAGGCCCTTAACGCAAGTGTCTGTAAGATTTCTCGTCAAGGAACTACGGAGCCACCCATTTCATCATCGGACGTGACATGGCTGGCAGGGGCCTCGGACAGCTGTGCGTCTGCAGCTAGCAGCATAAAGATTCATCTTGAGGTCCACAGGGTAGCCTGTTGTTGTGAGCAGGCACCAAGAGCACCATTGATGGAGAAGACTTCTACGGAGCTTACGATGCGCAGGACCAGATACTACAATGGGGCATGTACGTGTGTTGCAGATGCGAGCCGCCTCAGCGCACAGATATGAAGGAGTCACGCCTCTTTAAGGCGCACTTTCCGCATGGCACAGCATTGCGCCATGGCAATCGGCGTAAACTAGTGACTAGTGCAAGCAAAGCCTGCATTGCAGTCAGGACGGCCCCCCCCTGCGGCCCCCCCGCCCACATCCCCCTCACACGCACACAAGCATAGTCTTGGCGATATACAACAGATTGCTGCGCGCGTACGCAAGGGATCCTTCTATGTGGGTGTGTGCGGGTATGTGAGGAGGGCTGGCATCTGCCTGGCAAAGTCTGCTGCTGTTGTTGCCAGTCAGTCAGTCCTCCTCTCGCAGGAGACAGGCAAGAAGTACTCCGCTGAGCTCGGCGTGACTGTGACCCACTACGAGAACATGGTTCCCTGTCAAGTTGTTGCATGCGCCATGAGTGCACATCCCTATAGTAGTTTGGCAGGCAGGTTTTTGCATTCCACGAACAGCCGACTGAACTGCCGTGAATTCCATGCGATATGGAAAGCAGTAGCTAAAACAAAGAGTCACAGAGTTCTCTTGCCAGGTCTATGTTGGCCCAGACGAAGGCTACGTGCAGGACTGACCGTCCTTCATTCTAATCACTGTGATTTCAACGTGTAGCAGGTCTCAGAGCCATCCTGTCTGTTGCCCCGGTGCTTTGATGTGGCATCTGCCTATCACTGCAGCTTTTGCCATCAGAGCATATCTGTGCTCCGAACCACTGCAGCTGCAGACGAATCCACGAAAACACCGCTTCTAGTCGACTGCTGGGAGAATTTGTCGGCTAATGCTAGCTGGGTTTAGCTCCCCAAGCTCCATTTCTACAGCGAATTTGCAATAGGAAGGAGCCCGCAAAAAAAACTGCGCTCAACAACTTCAGTGGGCTGGAGCAAACCCCGCTTCAACAACAAGGCGACCTATCCGCACCCTCGTGATCATGACTAACACCCTGTGCCCAAACCCCAACCGGCGGATGGGAAAGCGTCCGTGCAGCCGCATTACATGAACTTCAACATCCCAGAATCCAGGGAAGTGAAACGAGATGCGTCAGTCACCTGCCCGAGCTGCAATGCTGGCCAGCCTGGAGTAGATGCCGCCAATTTGGGAGGCATGTGGGCCGGTTCCAAACCAGGTTTAATGTTTAAGTTTACGATTCAATGGTGTTGGTATTGGGGTATCTAGTGTACTTTATTGTTAAGCACCTTTCAAATTGCTAAGGGCCCGGATTTGGAGCAACACGCCTGCCTTCCCTTTCTCCCAGCTATTACTTTGTAAATGCAGCAGGTCGTGGGTGGCGCAGACAAGGGTGGCATCGTTGTGAGACAAGGCTGGTGGGCAAGCCTTACTCTACAATTTTTTAATGCTATTTCTCATTGACCTTGCATCAGCGGATCTACATTATGATTCTGACCGTTTTCCACTTCGAGTTCAACCTGGTATAGTTATGCTAGACTACGTCCCAACACATAACTTTCGTGAAGGCCACTACACTAATCCCCACACCTGAAAGCGCTACGAGGCAAAGAGCTCACCTCCGAGCCTGAGAGCAGCCGTCTTTCGCCAGGCCTGTCTGCGCAGCCTCTGCTCTTTAAACTTTGGATTTAGGGCTAGTTTTAGGGTTTGGCGTGGGCGGGGCCCGGTGAGCGCGCGCGGGCGTGTGTGTGTGTGTGTGCGCAAAAAAGTAATAGCATGTTTGTGTATATTTTATAGGAATAAATATGTATATATATGTGTATATATATACATATATATATATATATATATATATATATCATCATCATCATCATCATCAGCAAATACATAAATAGAAAATAGGTGTATATATATATATATGTATATGTATATAGGTATATGTATATATGTATATGTATATATGTATATATGTATATATGTATATGTATGTATGCATGCATGCATGGATGTACCTGCTGACTCATGTATTTGACGCATGCAGCAGGTGACATGTGAGTGCATACATGTATCTGTGCATTTGTCTATTTGTGTATTTGCATGTTTGTTTATTTGCATGCTTGTTTAAATGTATATGTGCATATATGTATATAAAACCTGTACAGGTACACGTGCATGTACATGTATATCTGTATGTATGCGCTTACATAGCGGCACGTGCATACATGCATGCATGCACACACACACACAGCGTATATGATGTGCTGGGATGAGAGCAAAGCGAGAAGCACACTGTCGACCGTCGATCCGCGGTGCAGCGCTCTCTCCAGGCGCACTCATCCTGGAGAAGGAGACGCACGGCGAGCGCATGAGATACTTCAGGCTGATACTCGGTGCTCTGAGAGGAAGCGCAACGTTAGGTAACGCCAGGTGCTTGGTGCTTGGATCCCCCCTTCCTTGCAGCCCAGGAGTGGCTCCGGGCCCGAGGTCGGTTGGGTGAGCCTGAAGGTCAAGGACCGGACCCGATGACTTTGCAGAAGAGTCTTGCGTTTCATCAAGCGGCGGCTGAAGGACAAAGCCATGGTCAAACGGAGGGAAGAGAAGAGGAAGCCGCGAGTTCTGGCACTGCACGGCGCTCCCAGCAACTCCAACATCATGCTCCTAGTCAGAGACCATGCATCGGTTAGTTTAAAGACAGAAAGGGGCTCCTGTTTGGATCTGAGGAAGTTTCAGACAGCCCAGCTGCGGAAGCTGGCCGGTGAGGACCGCTTCAGGGAGTTTGGATCGCGTGGCAGCTCACCGTATGAAGTCGAGGAGACAGCCACGAGTTTCCTGAAGCGCTCAGCGCGCCCTGCTCGTCTGCAAAGGACTTCGAGTGGCTGTTCGCCGACGGCCCTTGCGCCTGGAAGCCGCTGCCAGGATCCAAGCTGATGAACCTGGCAGAGCGCCACCCGACTAGCATTTGTTATTAAGAGTTTTATATGGCGTGCTGCTTTGAGTCAGTCGCTTTGCGGATAGCGACACCACACAAATCTCCCGAGCTTAAGCATCCGTTGGGATGGCTTGTTCTCATTCCCTCTCTGCAAGGGTGACCAAACATTAAAATTGTTGACGGTGAGTGATAGTGTTGCTCCGACAGCTGGAAGGACAGGAAGTACTGTAGTGCTTTTCCTTGTTTGGGAGCTCTCGGCGATTCTTGAAATGGATAACTTCTGTTCGATTGCCATGCCTTGAGGCACTCCAGTGGAAAAGGCAATCGCCAAAGACTCTCGTATGAGCATATGTCTCAGGCTGTCATGCAATCAGAAAAGCTGAACGCATGCAAGCTGTGGATTGAGGACAAGCCTTTCGTCCAGTGGTATTCACATCCTGAGCCTTCTCCAGAGGACTCGGCAGCAAAGTGATGGAAGGGGTGGGTTCACGGATAACGGCGTCGTGCTGAAAAGTTCCTGACCCGATCCAGAGTCTCAGGTCACCGGGAGTTGTGTGCTTGTTTGAAGCCAGGGCCGGGTTTTGTCAGTTTCTCAGAACTCACTGTTCTCCTTGTCGGGGTGCGTGTCTGTCACTTGCTTTCGATGGTCGCATGTGAAGGCTATTCTACATTCTGCTTTCATGGATGAGTGTGTATGGGTGCTGCAGCGACTGTGCAGGAGACGGCGGCAGGCAAGGGACAAGAAATGGATTTCGACGGTGTCCAATACGAGAATGTGGACGAGGGCGTGCGATTCCTGGAGGAGCTCCTCAAATCAACCTCTGCAGACAGTACTGCGAGTGATACTAGTTTCGTGATGTGTGTATCAGTGCAATTTATGAATTTCGGTATTGCAGTACTTTGGAAGTTGTGATCAGCGCAGCGGCTTCTATCCCGGGTTCTGCCTTTCAACCTTTTCTCAGACCGTGGCTAAAGTAGAACAAGCGACAGTCCCTACAAGGTATGTGAAAGCAAATGCTCCGATTGACGTTGTGGTGGCATTTTCACAAAGTGGGACGCTAGTGGCCATCTTGATGGACTTCCTGCGCAAGGCCTGGCTTGAGGTTTGCGATTTTCAGGATTTGTGGCACGGAATACAGGTTTTTGGGTTTAGGGGTTGAGGTTGGAAGTCTTTGGGTTCACAGTACCTTCCCAAACTATGGGGGGTTTCGAGACCGGCGATCCCGGAGCCGTAAATTTCCCATTGCTGCCGCTTACGTCCCAGGCCGAGAAGCCGATGCCTTGGCAGCTCACTGCGGCCTGGTCGGCATGGGAGTTCACATGGGTAGAAGAAGCTCTGGGGGGTGAAACTCCAGCGTGGTTGTACAGGGACCCTGATGTCAGTACCTGATGACTTGCAAGATGCTTTGACGAACGTCAACCGATCCGGAGTCCGGAGCCGGCAGTGCACCCGACACAGTACTGAGTGGGTTTACGTAGAATGTAGCGTCCTCACAATTGCGAGCTCTTTTTTGCGCAAACAGTTGCTTTTTTGGTCCACCAGGTCCTCTTCTGCGGGGCCATGATCGATGATGTGCGCAGCTGGCCTCAACCCGTCCTAAGCTGTGCATGCAGTGGGCAGCCCTGGTTGCGAGTTGCGCCTCCGCCAAGGCTATGCCCTGGAGGAGCCTTTAGCCACGCCGGCGCTGCAGCTTGGTGAGCACCTTTCACTTCTTTGACTCTAATCCATGTCTCCAATATCACAACCCACAGTTTATCTATCGAGAAGAGATCAGATCCACGGCAGAGGCTTAATAAGGCTCCTATCCCTCGAGTCTTACTTGTAGCTTGAAAGTGGATTGGGGGAATGTCCGTCAGGTTTTGCAACCCCTGTGCAAAGTTAGCCTTACTTTGGCGGTGCGAAACTCCGATATCGAGCTATGCCATGGTGGATTGGTAGGGCTCTCTGCAGCTTCAGGTATGTGCATGGCGGTGATGCAGACCCCTGGGGGCGACACGGGGAACGTTGCCTGCCGAAGATGTACACCGAGCTGGAAATGCCACTCGCAGGTATGTGCATCATTGTTAAGGTTATTCAAGCGATGTGGGGTGATGTGCCACTAAGACGACGACGAAGACGACGACGACTGCTACTAATTACTACTACTACTACTACTACTGCTGCTGCTGCTGCTCCTACCACTACTACTACTACTACTACTACTACTACTACTACTACTACTACTACTACTACTACTACTACTACTACTGCTGCTGCTGCTGCTGCTGCTGCTGCTGCTGCTGCTGCTGCTGCTGCTGCTGCTGCTGCTGCTACCACTACCACCACTACGACTACCACTGCCACTACCAGGACGACGACGAAAACGAAAACGACTACTATCACGGCTTGTATTCGGGAGGAATAATGAGCTTGTGGCTGTATTTCGAATAGCTCCAGCAAAAGAAATGACCGTGGCTGAGCAGCAGCCGATTGTTGAAACACCAACCTGAACCCGAACTCCACCAACATGAGTCCCCACATAAACCGCTCGACTCCCAACGGCTTCCTCCCCTGCAGTCGACAACTTATCACATCTCTTTCGTAACTTGCACAGTACACGACAGTACACGTTTCAAAGGGTTCTGTCCTGTCGGGTGTCTCGATTTTCCTTGAGCAGAGGCTGGAGCACGCAGATGGTCATAGCTTCCCTTCCACGGCGCCGAGGGCCTCTGAGATTTATCTGCGCGTTTTGCAGCGAATGAGCCCCGGACGGATAAGCGATCACTTTCTCGAGACTGCATGTTGTCGTTGAGAGTTAGGCTTCGATGCCAGCCCACAGTGAGCTCAGGTATGTGGCTTGCGCCGATGCCTTGTGACTCAAAGGAAAAACAGGTGTGAGCATGCTGCGTAATCTTGCCGAGTGATCTGGACTCTTGAGAGCCGCGCTTTACCTGGAGAAGCCTTTTACATGTCTAACTTTAAAAACTCCCGTATATCAAACTCAAGGCCTAGAGCCCTTTGCGCGAAACCATATTGCAGGAGAGCGTGGCGAAGAGCAAGGGCTACAAGGCCTGCATGCTCACCTAGGAGAGCCAGTCTTCCTACGACATTAAAAGTTCCAGGCACAAGAACGCACACCTTCCATCTTTTTGTTTGTTGTCGCGACCTTTTAAAGAGTCTTCTTCCCTGCTAGAAGGGAGCTGTAGAGCGGTATATTGCGGGACATTTCCGACCTCAAACAGCACACCGAAGCAAGGACGCCTTCTCCCTCATGGTATGGGAGGAGAAGAGAAGAGCTAGACCAAATTGTGAGAACACAAATAAGAGATCAGGTGGTGAAGCTCTCGGGCACCGAGTTCCGCCGACGCCTGCGCGCCGGCGAGGTGAGCTCCTGACACTGATAACGTGGTGGCGAAAAACAGCGATAGTAACCGACAGTGACAACGAGAATGCTACCAAGCAGTGTGAGCTGATACTACTCAATAGCGACAATGGTCTTCAGAATGGCAGCCTCGGGAGCAACAGTGTTAAGTGTCAAAGCTATAACTGGAAGACTAGTATCAAATCAGTAATCAACGACATACGAACATAAACGACGCTGTAAGACAACCGCAATGTTAAGCATCGTCATTGTCGTGGTTTTCCGTGCCATCATATTCGTCATCATCAGAAGCATCATTGCCACGTCAGGCATACTCTAACGCTGCTGATAGCTGCTACTTCCGGTGAGATCAGAGCCACCATTGGATGTGTGTCTTGGAATTGAGTGTGCGCGTGATTCCACCTCGAGCTGTGAAATTTGCGTTCAGCACTGATTGACCGCGGTTGGCCAGGAAATCCCAGAGTGGTTCGCATTCAAGTCCGTCGCCCACGCCTCAAAAGAACTACCTTGCGTTTCTGGATTCTCAGGCTTGGGGGAACTGGGGAATTCTCAGCCCGGGCAGCCTGGCATGGCCCCGCTGACTGCACATCCGCAGATCCTCAGCATCGCAGGATAAGCAGGGCCCAGCCATTTTTTTCATGTTTTCCTGTGCATCAACTCCCAATAATTGCTAAAGGCAGGCGGTTAATTTTCGGATTCAGCGCACTCATGCGCACTCTCTAAAGCCCTGATCACTAGCCACCGATTGTCAGAACGATTCGATTCAGCAACACATCAAAACTGAGAATCTTCGTCGAGCCTCAAGCCTGAAGCCCTAAACCCTCAAAGCCCCACGCCCTTAGCAAGATTCAGGTCGACATCCTGCGAAAAGCTGGAGACAGCGCCTTCTGCGCCTAGGGTCGGTCCCCCAGAGGTTAAGTCTCGAGTTTGAAGGTTTCTCTGAGTGTCTCAGTATTTTTGTACTTTATTGTCCCATAAAGAGGCGGTGTCATTCAGGTTTCGGAAAGTTTCATGTGTCTAACAGATTGTAAACGGCTTCTTGTTGCGGTTTTTGAGGGTTGAGGTTTTCCGGGCTTCTGCGTTTCGGGTTTTGGGGTTGAGGGTCTCTGGGCCTTCTAGGCTTTTCCAAATGAGGGTTTCGGATTTAGAACGGCCGAGGGTGTAGACCTACAGCCGGATCTTAACCCTATAGTGGAGTGGTTCCGAATGTGTCGCATTGGTTCCTTGACTCTGATGCTGGCTGAATCTTGGCTGTTGTTCCCCAGTGCCTGCTGTTTGCAGCTTGAGGCAGGTGTTAACAAAGCCATCCCTGCACGCGGTCCTGACGCTGTGCACAATACTTTCTACCTGCGTGCGGGTCTTAAAGACACTGAAGTTGAAATGGATTTTCTGAAATCAAATTTTCTTGGCAGCCGAAGTTCACACGAACTAGGCAATGACTTCTTGGGTCTTTGAGAGCCGTGGCGGGTATTCATTTGGCCAGTCCATTTAGAGCGCGGCCTTTGGCCCTTAGAGCCCTCCCAGATGGTCTCAGGACCATGTGAAAAGTCTGTGCCTGAAATCCTAGATCTTCGTGGATAGCCAACCAACGGGAACTCTGATTACAGCTTGAGAAGAGAGACTCCGTGAGTTGTGCTCCGGAGTCTCATCCACAGACTGCCCGAGAACTTGGCGAGGAAGGTGCATCTGGGCAAAATGCCAATGGTCAATCTTCGGCAATCTAGAAATAAAACAGTGAAAAACTGGCATCTCTCTGGCAGAGCTTGAATGGTAAGAACCGAAAGGTGCACAAAGACCTCTCCAAGTTTCCTGCGGGCGACAATTTTACCTTCTCCCGCATACGGCATTTAGCCTTAACATGCCATTTTGGACGCATGGCACAAGCCTACCCAATCCGCGAGAAACTGCCCGAAGCCCTGCAGCTGTGGTGTGTCTTGGAAGTGCAACTGACTTGCATTTTGGGGGCTCCTTATTATAGTTATAGTATAATGGGCCCCCGAACCCTATTCTAATTATCACGGCCCCTATATTATTACACAGATTAGGATGATGTCTGACCTGTGCAGCCATGGAAGGCTCCAGTCAGGAACGATAGCCGATAGCTTAGTTGCACGCACTACACCCCGTAAGTGCTGCTGCGGTAGCCGACGCAGTTGTGCCAGCCATGGATGGCCAGTGAGAACCTTAGTGTCAGAGGTCCACACAAGTTGCCGCCAATCGTTGTCTGACGCCAACCACATTCCTGCAGGTGCTCCTACAAACAAGGTAGCTTGAATTCAGCTGAATAGTGTTTAGTAGGTTGATGTATCATAAATATGCTGTATAATATGTAGATGATCTGGTTTTGCTTGTTAGCTTTGATTTGTTCGCCTTGCAGGATATTGCATTCGTCTGCTGTACGCACCAATATCACATGCCTAAAAATCCTGAAGCCCTAAATCTCTAACGCCGTGAACCGAAAATCCCAAGCCCAAAACCCCAAATCCCAAAACAAAAACTTTCACCGAGATGCTCAGGTGGGCGCATCACACGGGCCCTCGGGTCGTCACAAGTCAAGTCCCGTGTCCGGCTCCAAGACATTTCAGAAGCTGACTTGGGTTTAGGGGTGTGGGGGTTTTAATTGTTTTACAGGGTCTAGGGTTCAGGGTGTACGGGCTTGGGTTTTTTTGGGGGTTGCAGTGGGTTTTGGCATGATATAGGTCGGCCTCGGGCTTGGGTTCTACGGGGACCATGAAAGCAGCACAGCTTCTTCTTGGATGCAGACTCGAGCTTGGCGTAGCGGCGTAGCGTGTTGTGTCACTGATCCAAGTTCCGTGGTATTTCTGCCCGGACTTACCTGGAGACAGTTGCAGCTGGCCGCAACCCTGCGCTTGCCACAAGTTGACAATCCGAAGTACGCCTCCATTAGCCATTGCAGCTTCAAGGTTTTTCACAATCCGGGCGAGCTGGAAGCACAAGATAGCAGTTGTAGCCAACCAGGTACGAGTAATAATGTTAGCCCTTTTATTCTAGTCGCAGTAGAGAAAATCATAGGAGTAGTATCAGGAATAGTCATCATATTCGTCACACTACTGATAGACATGGCAGCTATGCTCCTCGAAAACGACATCCTGCAACACCGCTTCGGAAAGAGTTTCAGACACTTGACAAGGCCTTCCCCCTAGCCTTTTGCAACCCTTATTCCCCCTATTGAGAGGATGTTGAACCCTACAGACTCCCGTAAACCCTTACTAAAAACTAACATAGCTACAAGAGCCTTACAGGGATACCATGCCCCAACTCTATGGGGCCCTTGCTGGCAAGTTATTGGGCTCTCCAACCGTTGCAAATCCTGAGCTTCGCGGGAGGTGGCGGCTCTCACCCGCGAGCTTCAGGCAGCCTGCAAGGCACGGTCTAGGGTTTAGGGCTTTAGGGCTTTAGGGGTTTAGGGGTTAAAGGTTTAGGGCTCCGAGGCTCAAGGATCAACAGATGTAGGGCAAAGTGTTTGGGTTAAGGGTTGAAAGTTCGGGGTTTCGGGTCCAAGTTTGAGGTTGAAGCTTTGGACCTTACAGTGTTTCAGAGGCATAGGTTGCTGCACGATTCTAAGCCCCAGGTGGGGCTTCGGCTTCGAGGTTGAGCAGCCAAAATCTCCAGCCGTTACTGGGCCTGTCCACGGGCTTTCACCATTAAGCTCTAAGCCCTTTTAGCCGTAAACCAAAATAGGGGACCCTAGTATAGTACCCTAAATAGTAGGATTCTTACTATAAGGACCCTAAAATAAGGTACCCCCCCTTTAGCCGTAAGCCCTAAACCTTACTTTCGGGTGTGGGAAGTTGGAGCCTCGAGGCAGACGGCAAGGGCTGGCAGCATGCGCCCGGATCTCGGCTGAGCGGTTTAGCCGTTTAGTCCTAGAAAGCTGGATGCGTCTGAATATTGATGGTGCTTGGGAAGTACTATGCTGTTATGCCTGGCTTCTTTCTGAGTCCTATGGCCATGATTGCGATATAATGCTGAAGACCCTGGTCATAATGATGGTGCTGCTGATGCTCGTGACTAGTCACGGCCATTACTGATGGATGGATGGATGGATGGATGGATGAATGGATGGATGGATGGATGGTTGGATGGATGATGCAGACGGTGATGATGCCGACGGTGCTGATGGTGATTACGACTGTTGTTTTTCGACATAGTCCTCTTCCGCCTTTAAGGCCCATGACTGTGCAAACTCTGGTCATGGGAGCGCCGCAAATCAGACCACATGCTGTTTTGGACCCTGGATCCTCTTTCTTGGACGCTCCGAGAGAAGCCCAGGGTAGACGGGCCAAATTTCAATTCCTCACCCACCAAAGCCCTAAACCCTTGAACCCTACTTGGAGGTTCGTGGGTAGTTATAAGTAGGGTTATAAGTAGGATAACTATAGATATAACTCATGTTAGGGGACATTATAACCCTACTTACTATTTCCCCTGATCCTTCAAGTACACCCCCTGCTGTGGACCCGAAGCAGAAGCTCCTTGCTGAGCGCAGGTTAGGGCTCCTCTTCGATGAGCTGGACCACTCGGAGCGCACGGGAAGGCCGGCGGGAGACCCGTCACCAGCATGACTTGGAGGTTCATGGGCAGTTAAAAGTAGGGTTATATGTAGGATAGCTATAGTTACTACCTATGTTAGGGGGCTTAACCATCCTGAAAACTAACCATGAACCTCCAAGGACGATAGCATGAGCGCAGCAGCGACGACGGCAATTGTAAGCATGGCAATGATAAGGAACTCATTAGCAATAGCGTAGTGAAGACTAGCAGTCATGGTAGCAGTACGGCACACGTTGGTGGCAAGAGTAGTGACAAGACACTTATCATAGATAACTGCTGCTACTATTTTCTCAGTAATAATCTTATGATTGAGTTGCTATCAATCTGGTTGTTATTGATCAGATTCTTCTTATTTTTATTCTTCTTAATCTTACTCTTATCATTCTTCTTATGGTTACTAGCAGTTTAGATGTAGCTGAGTTCCGGTAATGCCAACATTATGATTACGAACAGTGAGAAGAGTAGCAGTTACTCCAAGCTGTAGCACTGCCATGAGTCACCCACCGGCAAGAGCTGAGGATCCCTCGATCATGCTCGACCTCGGAGGGAGTAGAGCGCCATTCGGATTTAGGTTCTAATATTTTCTAAAACATGATAGTAGTGCTAAGAGTGGTACTTAGTTTCTATAGTTGTGGTACTTAATTTCTTAGATCACAAAATAAGTAATTAAGTGGTCTTGACAAAGTGAAGAGAGTCGCCTCGCCAGGTAATTGCCATATGGTTCAAGCCAGGGATGTTTAGAACGCAGGTCAACTTCGAGATGGGGTCTAAAGACTCTGCACATGCAACCGTCCACCATTCGAGAATGCGGTGCATGTCAGACAGTTTTCATCTTGGAATTACTGACTAGCACATCACCCACAGCAGCCAGTGCTATAGTCCGGACAAGCTTCGCAGCCGCCGCTGCTGCAGCTCCACTGCCCTGGTGCCGATGACACGCTCTGCTTGCTATTGTGTGGTTAGCATGCTCAGGACTTGCGAAGGATGGGAAAGGCGCCCATGAAGAAGAAGGCCTGGTGTCGGGGAAGTGAGCATGGTCTCTTCTCATCGAATTGTTTGTCTGCCAGAGGCCGCGGCGTCGAGTACGCGGAAGGCCAACAAGAAGAAGATGGTTCCGAGGAACGGAGCCCGAGCTCAGCGCTGAGCCTTCAAAACCCACGGATATTTTTTCCCCCGTTTCCCGTCCCTGTCTTGGCCATTCAGGTGGACCGGCGGGGCCTTCGCTGGGCCTTGCAGGCTCGGGCTTTGCTTGATCCGCCTTTGTCACAATGTGCGAGGAGACTCCCAATTCTGACGCCTGAATCTTAACACTGAGGCGCTCTTGAAGGAGAAGGACGGGGATGGGATGATGGGTGTTATTGTTATCACAAGCTCGCAGATGCACCGTTCTGAGGATCCTTGTCGGTACTGTGTTCCCTGTCTCGCTGCGTATCTGGTGGGCCGGGGCCTTGCAGGGTGGAAGAACAGACCTGAAGTACGAGAAAGTGCGTCTCGGCTGAGAACGGATAGGGATCTGTGTTCGGCTTGAACCCAGCTTTTTAGCTTAGCGGTTGAGAGCGGTCTTATGAAGGATTCGAGGGCTTGGGCATTATTGGAACGCGGGGCTTGGGGGTTTGGTTTAGCTTTCGTGCCTTTGTGGTGTTGGGTCTGACCTCTGCAAAGTATGAAGGCTTTGGATTGTTCATGAGGGCTCGCCAAAATCTTCGTCCCGTGTTCGCTTCACAGAAACAAGACCCAGAGATTACAATTTGCAGCTGCCTCACATCGTAAGGCCCTTCCGTGTTCTCAAGCGGTTCTTTTGCGGCAGATCAACTCTAAACACGTCAACATTGCCGATCGGCATCGGAGCCGCTCCCAAAGAAGAACCCTTCACATGCATCTCCAAAGCCAGCACTGCCGCCAAAGCCGGTTGTAGTCGTAGATATGGCTTGGGAGCCCTGCAGAGACGTTTGCGTTTTCCCTCCTTGCTTGCAAGGACCAAGACGCATGACAAGGTCATGCGCGAGGCTCGCGGTGATTGCAGGGCCGTTTCTATCAGCGCTTGCAGACTGCCAGTGCACAGGTGCCCATCCAAAACCGGGCTGGCTATCCACTCGTGTTCCCCAAGGGGTCCGTTGACCCCAAAAAGTGGCGCACGAAGGAGGGCAAGGACTGCATTCGATAGATGCCTTGGACTGAAGTTTGTCGAGCTAGGCTGTCATGGTGTGTCGGGAGACACGACATGCCTTTTCGGATTGTACCAAACATGCTTTCTTGGGCAGGAAGTCATCGTCGACTTTCACCGTTGCTAAGCCGAGTTAATGTGCAACAGCCAAATGGAGACTTTCATTCTGCTCGGAACACCCCTGTCTCTATCCCTTGATATCGTCTTTTTCGAAGTCTAAGGCGCCAAGTGGCTCCCGGATGATTGGGGTCAGGGTGTCAAGGCGCCGGTGTCACAGGGTCACAGGGTTTCGTGTTTTGCCGAGAGCGGGTGCGCCTGGCGGTTTTTGGCCAGGGTGTGTTTGCATCGGATGGTCGTTGCTCAAGTCTTTCTGCCATTGCACCACGCCCCCTGGCAGTGCACCAATCGCATTGCGCGAAGCCGCGGTGGTGGCGGAACTTACACAGTGCCTTGGTCTGGAAATTAACGGCTGCACTCTGCAGGTATTTGAAAACGCTTCTGATAGGACTGATAGGAGTCAACAAAGCCGACCAAGCATGGTTCACAGTCTTCGTCAAAGTTTCTTGCCAGGTCTTGTTTGCTTGACCACCCTACATGTCATGCATGAGGATCCCTATCGCTGCGATACTATCGCTGTGTGTAGTTCCCACAGCTGAGGTGATCATCAGCCCGGACGGTCGCGTTTTCTACCATCGCAAAGCTGCGGAGGAGCACTATGGAAAGGCCTCATCATGTGAAATGGAGTACTGAAGTTGTTCACCTCAATCTGCAGTCCTCTGCTCCTGAGCCTAACCCTACAACCAAGCCTTCCATCCTGAAAGACCCAGGAACCCCGAATCGTGTCGCCTGCGTAGAAACCCTAGTCCAGTACATAAGCCTCGGTCGGTACTTCTAGTAATTTTAAAGCAACGCCGCCCGCCTCGGCTCTTTAGCGGCAGGGCGAGGGGGCAGTCGATGTTGTATACATGCTAGGGGGGCCTCTCAACCCCAACCTTTACACGGTCGTTGATACCCGCAAAGAGGAGGATTAGGTGGAGGGTACCTGAGGTAACCCCCAAGACGCCTGGGCCTGTGGCCTCGGCGGATTATGCAGTACTAGTCCCTAGAGCTCCGTATCAGGCTTGTAGTAGTGTAGTAGCTGAGTAGGTAACCTTTATCCTTTTGGGTCTTATCTGATCCTACCACAAGTTTAAAGGTTAACCTTTTTTGGTCTAGGGTACTCAGCCCATAAGGTAGAGCAAACGCCCAGAGCCCTATGCCAACAGTAAAGGCCCTTGTATTGCTGATGGGAAGCCCTTCCCACGAAACCCTTACACCCTAAACCCTTAAATATTAAACCTTACCAATGTAGCCCAATAGCCCTGCACCCTTAAATCTCTAAACTCTGAACCTCCAAAGCTTAGGCCCCAAAACCTGAAACCCTAAACTCTAAACTCTAAACCCCCAAGCTCTAAAACCCTAAACCCTGCAGTCTGAGCGACTTGCCCGCTTGATGTTTGCAGGCCTTCAGTGACGAGTTGGGCTTCCAGGGCCAGGTGGGGAAAAAGCGAACCTCGTTTTGGGGGCTTAGGGATCCGATCGTTGAAAGATTTTGAGGTTTAGGTTGTCATCAGGCTTTGTGGGGTGCTTGGCAAAATGCGGTGGTTAAGTTTTCGGACTCTCCTAGCAACTAGCATCCTCATTGCAAGTGAAAGATCCTCCTCAATAGCAAGGAGCCTCGAGTCTGAACTTTCGGATATAAAACCTACTGGTCCAAGTTGGAACTTATCAAATGCAACCTGACTGAAAGGACCACGGCACCTACTGTAGAGGCTCCCCTGCATTTCAACCCAGAAGCTCATGAGCGCGATCATACCTTTCAGCGATTTGTTCAGTCTCGTGACTCCGTCGCAGTCTACCCATGTCTTCCGTTAGCCATGAGTCGAACTCTTTGGGCTGTCGCGAAAGGTGCGTTTGGCGAAGCTGAAAGCCAAAGAGGCTGCACGGGCCCTAGCGCAAACAGGCCCAGGCGCTGCAGCTTCAGGCACGATAGAATTTCCGACTGAAACTTCAGCGCGTAGGTTGGGGAAGAGCATCTCGAATGTTTTCGACTTCAAGAAACTGCAATGAGCCTGTTAGCAGTGGAAGGTTCAGCTCGTTCGCCTGCAGATCAAGGACTGGCTGCTACAGTAGGCAACTATAGGGGTCTAAGCAGTCACCTATACTATATTAGGCGGTTCCTTTTTATAAGTATAGTATAATGGAACCCAAAACCCTATTCTATTTATGAAGGCGCTGATATTGCCCCTGCAGGCGATGGAAGACTGTAGGTCCACCGGTGGCACCTGACATGAGCCGCTGGCCAGCCGACAGATCACCGCGGTTTAGGGTTTAGGGGTTTAGGAGTTTAGGGTTTAGGGCCCCCCATAGCTCCAATTGTGAAGGAGATTCCGAACCGGCCCAAAGGCGACATTCGGAGCCTTTGGCAGCAATTGAGGTATCTCGGAGAAAGCTGAGCACCGGGCAAGTGTTGTCATTTGTTTGATCTGCGTTCTCATTGATCGTGCTGACTTTCTAGTTTGTGATCACTGTACTACTACCATGCTTTATGTTTCCTCATTGTTTGATCGAAGCCTTCAGCTTTGCTGGAGGACATCGCATGTCCGATGTGACATGCTCCAGTTGCAGCTGGACTTGCATGTTCTTGTTACTTGTTTCGGACAATCTGTAATCGCAAAAAACCTGAGAAAAACGCGAACCATGATACACAATGCCGCGATAACCGAAGGTGTGCCTCTTTGTGTTTGCACGACACATCGCAACACCTGAACGTCCTATTC